CAATAACAGAACACTTGGACTCGCTTCACACTCATGTGAAAGCAACTGTCATCAACCCACACAACACACAGTCGACTCTTTCAGGTCTGGCTGGACGCAGTTAACACTAGCCCTGGCTTCGCCAGTGGCCACTGCCACCTGGGACAGCAATAAGGAGTTCTGTACACAATAAATCCCTCCTTCTGGTGACTTCTGCCTTTTAACTTCCAACCTGGGATTTGACCTGATGATTGTAATGATCTAGGCACAACCATGACTTACACCGCTACAGATATATCCCACAGAAAGAGGGTAAAGTGCTTGTCTAGCAGCGAGCTCCCTCTTCTAAATCCTCTAACCCAAAAGGATTTTGATGACGGTAAACGCCTAACGCGGAGATCTGCTGCGGGCTCAACTGTTTTATGACATTCAGTTAGTCCGAAACTGCTATTCGCTATTTAGCAGAGGAGCAGCAAACAAGTCACTGTGTAGCTTTCAACGATCAGATGCGAAAACAGAGAGAATATCTTTCTTAGGGCCAATTTCTTAAACTAAAATGAGATTTCCCCATGCGAATAACTTTTTTTACGTTTTTTATAACAGGCGCTACTATAGAGGGCGCAACCAGAGGATGAGTTAAAGTGAAAACCCTCTCTTGTCAACCAAAGTTTCAAAGAAGGGGGGCCTTGAATGTTACTCACCTCGCCCTTCGTAAAGTCATAATCCAAGGAGAATTGCAGTTTTCCCAGATTTTGCTTTTCCTTCTCCTGTACGCCCTCATTGTCCTCCATGTTTGCCTCCAATTCCTCCAGGTCGCCCTAACGCAGACAGAAAGGTGAATGCTGAGCAAATATACATATATTGCTGATAGAAGCGAAGATGCGCGTCCCCGGACATAAATGAGAAGATAAGGCAATCTCGGGAACCATTGTTTTATTTTCCTGACTTTTCAAAAGCGTACAGGCTTCCGTCATCAGAGGAAGCCTGCACGCTTTTAAAGCGTCAGGAAAATAGAGCGATGGTTCCGGAGACCACCATATCTTCTTATATACATACATATCTATCAGGGTTATGCTTGGCTGAACGAAGGCAAATAAGGCGAAACCATTTCTGTATCAAGTTACCCCCAACGCTGTCATCCCCTCTGCTAATTTGACTTGGCCGGCATCGGCCTGGCAGGTGGTGACCCTTTTCGGGATCTCTAGCCACCACGTGAACTTTGTTTATTTCGGAAGCCTATTGGATCGGTATTCGGACATTCCTGAGTGAATACATACATAGATACATATATAGGAGCCACCCAAAGCTATAGAATACTCAGTAGGAATATGAGGTAACTGGCGGTAAAAGTGCCCAAAAGGGGCTAAATATCGTGTTTTAGCTGGACATTTGCAGAAACAAGTGATAGGCTATAAAAATTATGATACAATGCTTTAATCCGCGGTACCTCTTACGTATCCTTCAATTTCAAGTTTTCAGACTTTAGAAAAGAGCAACTCCGAGCAAACACGATTTCTTTCACCGAAGCGTCTACTGGTCGATGCAATAGGCCTGTGATAGCCTCGGATAGAAAGCACACTTTCAGATAATTCAACAGTGGAGCCTAATGACGCTTAACGCAGTATGGATTGAAACTTAATAAGGACTGAGGCAAAGAATGAAAGAGAAGGTTCACGTTCCAGGTATTTCTATCGGTAAAGAAGACATATGATCGAGCACCGGAACGAATTGTATTTTATTCTGAGCTTTTGGGCTCCTGCAGGAGTCCATCGTCAGAGAGAGTGCAGGAGCCCGAAAGCTCAGAATAAAATACAATTCGTTCCGGTGCTCGATCATATGTGTTCTTTACCGACTGAGGTAAAGGTTTGGCGAAACTAGCAGTCTTAGTACTGTTTTGCAAACGAGTAAAGGGGCAGTTGTTGGGACATTTTCCATCTACCTGTTTAAGGTGCACTCTCATAATGAACACTATTCAGCTATAAGAATCTTTTTTCAGTTTTTATTTCAAGGACTGTATAAAGTTAACAACATGTCACTGAGGAGAAGTGAATAAATACATTTCTTAGGCTCGTTTCATAGAAGTTTTACATTTTCCACATATAAGACCTCGTGGAAATGAGGTCAGCTGGTGTTTAAACAGTTTACCTATAGCAATGTGCTTTAAACGAATAGCTACGCTTTTAGTGTAATTTATTTTTAACTAACTGTGCTAGACAATTGGCATCAAAAGTCACCAGAAGGATCTGAACATTCAATTTTATCTGGCATTTGCTGAGACGAGCAACAAGCTACCAAATTGTGGCACACTGTTCCTGTCCACATTAGGTCTTACGTCAGTTCCTATAGGAGGATTTCAGGGGTTAGGCAATAACAACTAAACACGACTTCTTTCACAGAACTGCTGACGGTGAAACTAGTGGATTGATTAAACCTGCGAGAGCCCCCTGACAGAAGGCGAGTCTTCTTACCAGTAAACAGTGGAGCCCGTCAAAATTTAAAATAGCACACATTTAGCCACCTGGTATGATGAAAACAAGGTCTTGGTGTGGTTTCGAAAACACGTAACGTGGGGCAAAAGCCCCCAATAAATCCATAACCATAATCCATAAATCCGTAACCAACCGTGTCTTGACAACCATTTGCTTTAAAGCGATAACGGCACTTTTATTGTGGCTTATGGGTAACGGCAAACGCAGCTTAAGTGATACACCTCATATACCCCTTTTACCAGTATTTATCCTACGAAGCGGTACTTATAGGGGTTTTGGGAGTGGAGAAATAGGATATGAAGTAAAGGAAATTTGTAGAAGTAAGTGTAAAGTGAAAAAAAAAACGTAGTTGAATTGTTTCCAGCGGCCACTGGAAGTAAGTTGTTCCACATGTAAATTGGGGGTGTGCGCGACGCTTCACGTCGCGGACTATACTAACTAAACTCCAGAACGGTAAGTTGGACCTCAGGTAAGTTGAAGTAGGCAACCTCCTAACCACCATTTGTATTTTTTCAGGAATTTCGAGAAACCTGCATTGTGATAATCGGGTTTTTCCTCAATACGTTTAATGATAATACAGATTAGGAAAATCTACAGATATAAACCAACAAAATTTCTGAAAACACTAAAATTAAAATGCATATAGCAGTTACTAATGCATATTCCACCGCCTATCCTAATTCTTCGCCCATAAAATCCCTATAAGTACCCTTTCCTTAGAACAAAATGCTGTGACTAGGGGTACATGAGGTGCACTACTTAAACTACTGTTGCTATTATTTTCATGGGTAAACCATTTCCTGACGTCAATCTGCTTTGAAGCGCTAACGGTACTTTTATTGTGACTTATGGGTAACTAACTATGTGATGCAGGAAGAAACAAAAGTTCCCGTATGTGGATCTGTTAAGGAACCTATCGCGACTCATGAGCACTCTCAATACACAAGCATAATATCATCTGCTCTGAAAGCGGGCGTACCTAACATTTGACAAGTAAAGGCAACGCTCCAAACACTCCCACATAAAAATTCGGTAAACTCAATTGCGCTTTAAAGTCAAACCTCCTCAAGAAATTGCGTATAAGAAGGAACTTTTTATGTTGCTTCAAAAGACGATTGCATGGTTACATACACTGATAATCCACTGGACAACTGCAGGCTGTGCTAGCAATGATTTACTCTCTTATATTCTTCTCACAGGGAACAATAATAAACGATGGGAGCAGTAGTCTAAGTAGAGCACCTCATATGCTCCCGGTCCCAGCATTTTGCCCTACGGAAACGGTGGTTATAGGGGTTTTTGGGTGGAAAATTAAGACAAGCAGTGGGATATACTTTATTAACTGCTATAGGCACTTTTTATTTTATTGTATTTAGAAATGTTGGTGATTTATATCTGTAGATTTTCCTAGTCTGCATTATCTTTTAACGTATTGTGGAAAAACCCGATTATCGAAATGCAGAATTCTCGAAAATCCTGGAAAAATAGAAATGGTGGTTAGGAAGTCGTCTACCTGAGGTCCGCCTTACCGTTTTGGAGTTAGATTAGTGTAGTTCACGGCGCGAAGCACCCCGCATACCTTCAATTTACACGCGGAACAACTTAGTCTTAGCGGCCGCCGAAGACAAGTTCAACTAAATTTTCCCACTTTCCACTTAATTCTACAAATTTACTTCACTGCTTATCCTATTTCCCCAAACCCTTATAACCGCCGTTTCCGTTGGACAAAATGCTGGGATAAGGGGTATATGAGGTGCACTACTTAAACTACCTTTGCCTAAACGATCATCTAAAAGTCAGCGCACTGAGGTGTTTGAAATGAAATATTACTCCTTGATACCAAATTCCGTAAGGCCGCCAACACGAAGCTTTTCGCTGGAAAGCCTTCTGGATTAATTAACAAAATGTCTTTCAGTTGTTTCGATGCATTTCGTAAATAGCTGGACTATAACGAAACACCGTTCCTGCTATTTTCTCTGATGATGGATCCGCGACGAATTTCGAAACGTCAGGCAAATAAAATTCCTGGGCCCACCGATCACATTTGTTACTTATCGAAGGTACACCTACTCGAAAACTAACAGAATAAGTTGAGCCAATATAATTGTAGGCGTTGTCTGCTTCATTTCACTGCATTCGCACAGATATTATCAAAGAGCCTGATACAAAACCTGAGTTTTGTACTTCCATCGTATTTGGGAGCGAAATGCGATACCCAAACCGGCGTTATGCTCCACGCTATGATGGACATCTACCTGAGCGGGAGGAGAAATATGAAGCCGAGGTTCTCTTCAGGAATGCGATTTCAAAAAAAGTAAAAAAATAAACAGAATTCTCTTCTGCTGTTGCTGCTGCCATACCTGATCCTTTCCAAGCTGTTTACCCAGCAACTGTACGCTCTTCATATCCACTTTTCCCTTGGCCTTTGTCTTATCTTTCCTGCGTCGCTTAAAAATGCAGCGTTTGCAGATGCAGAATAAGATAAGGAGGACGAACAGAATTATGCCGACAACCATGGCGATTACGGCGGACGTTGGCACTAAAATGAAGTTAGAAGTAAACGCTATACGGATAGGTCTAAGCATAAAGATGTTGGGGAAAGGATTTTAACGCCAAGCGGACGAAAACGGTCCATAAAAAGAAGGCAATAACTCATGAAGGTAGACACACATTCGGACATTTAAGCTAGTAATAATAGTCATTGTGCATAATTTAACCGGAAGTTAGGCAACGGGTTTGCGTTTTTTCCGAAAAGTAAATAAGGCAATCGGATGGGCAAAAATGTGAAAAGAGCTGACGGCTGGTATGGGAAGGAACATATATGAAAAAGATGATGACTGGCAAAAGTGCAACATTTGACGTCAAACAAAGCTGTTATTTTGTCAACTAACGTAGTTAATAGCCCCCCTCCCTCAGTAGGCAAACAAAAGGATCAGATGCTGGACACTTACATTAAATTTCTCGGGACACATATCATGACACACACACTTGAGAATAGGGATGAAAGACGCGCAAGTGCACGTGGCAAGAGAACGAAGCGTTAATGGGAAATCTCTAATCAGTCCGACACTGATCAGCCCATTGTAGGCTCTCTTTTTTTTCGCGCACCTCTACCTGCTAAAAAAACCGTGAA